CCTTCAAGTTTCAGCTTCAGTATCACATCCTCGGGGAATCGAGCCCAGACCAGGCATACGCCCCAGCCTCACCCCCTGCACTTGTCCTCCTGAGTATCTATCACGGTTTAATGAACTCATTTTGCGACTCCTTTCTTTCAAGTTGCCTTATCCACTGGACTAAGAATTGTTTAGGGTGAGGACTGCGTTGTTCACTCTGTATCTTCGTAATTCACACATATGAGGCGATCAATACTTTAGTTAACCGTGTCTTCTCTGGGCCTCAGTTTCCCTGTATATGCACCAGGCTTGATCATTGTTGCCCTTATCACACAAGGCGCTTAAAAACACACGATGAAATGTTGACATAATTTTTGAGAAAGGGCTTGAAAACCACAGAGTGTCATACGGCAAATGGAGTAGTGGCATTAATTTTTTGTGATATTGATCATCAACTCTCTAGCTCAGTCTTTGATATTCTGTTACACGAGTGTGTGTGTGTGTGTGTGCGCGCGCGCGTGCGTGCTTATTTTCTGTCACCACCCATCACCTCTACAGGAATGGAAGCCTTGCATCATGAAGCAAGGGCTATGTTTTCTTTCCTGGTGATTTTGAATTTCAGCATTTGGACTGATGCCTGGCTCCCAGTAAGAGATCAATCATTTTTGTTGAATGAATGAGGGAGAAATGGGCTGACAGGAACAGGGAGACAGTAAAAATCTTAAATACCGTTTAAAAAAATTTTAAACCTATAGTCAAAGCCCACTCAATACCGTTAAGTTTATTCTGACAGTCCGTGGTGGTGGTGCCACATAACTGAATCAGTCAAAAGATGGGGAGAGACAGGAACGTTCTCGTGAGTACCTAAGGAACTCACAGAATGAGTTATCACTGCCAAATATCCTCAAGTGGCAGTTTGATGCTGAGATCAGCCACCACAGGCAACGATTATTAATTAATCATTGATTAATATTAATAATCCTCACAGCAAACCTGTGTAGTCTGTATTACTATTATCCAATTTCACAGATGAAGAAATGGAGGCCCAGGGAGGTAGAACCAGTTGCCCACACCCGGCAGGGGCAGGCAAAGCCTCCCGCACGTGGGCACGGGCCTCCCGCACGTCAGCAGGCGGGGGGCTGGGCTGCCAGGGCCTTACCGATGTACATGGAGTTGGAGAATTGCTTGGCGGGCAGGATGGAGTTCTGCAGGGCGTCCTCGTCGTTGGAGGGTGGTGGCTCGTAATCAGCGTCGTCTTCCACAGGCACCTCTTCCTCCTCATTGGGGGACTCGTAGTCACCGTCGTCCTCCTCATCCTGATCGTCGTTGGGACTTTCATAGTCATCTTCTTCCTGCCGACAGGGACGGGGACAGGGACGGCACGGTTTGCAGAGGTTCCTTGGCAGTCCACGTGCCTGCGTCTACCCTCTCTCTGCCAAGCCACGCAGCGGCAGTCGCTTGGGGACAGGCCGCACTGAGACAGTTACTCCCGTTTCACAGATGAGGACACTGAGGTTGGGGAGTGCGGTATCACAGGGCCAGCAAGTCGTGGACTTGGGACCTCCGTCAGAGTCTTCAGACCACTAGGCTAGTGCCTTCTTCTCTATGCCTTTTCGCACAACACAGAAAAGCGGAAGAAATAAGAAAGAGGCTGGAACAGGGGGCAGGGGACCCGGCACCGTTTTGAGTGAACACAGTTCTTACTCCAGGCATCGCCAAGAGGAAGACTGGTTAGTCTTGTTGCCCCAAGTTAGCTGTCAGTTCTGTTCTTAGTGTCCTTGCACCCCCAAAATATCTTCTCACTAGGACGCAGTGCAGTGCCGAAGCCCACGCTAATGGGAACCCAGATTCCACCTCTGTTCATCAGAAGGCGGATCGCGTCTGACAGGGGACAGTGGCAGCTGCGCTCTTCAATTTTTACTGAGATTCGAGCATCGAAACAACAGCTCATTATTCATGACCTCTGACACTGACTTTGAAGCTGCCTTCTGAGAAAGACTCTTTCCAAATTAAAATTTTTTCTTGGATTTTATGTTTGGTTCTTTGTGGGTCTAGGAAAGTAAGCCCCCTAGGGGCTGGGTGACTGCCTTCAAAGCAGTCCACAAAAATGGGCAGTCACAGCATTTCCCAGGCAGAGGAGACACCACCAGCCGCCCAGCTGACTGGCTTGTTACTCTCATGCCGAAGTCCAGTGGGCAATAAACGAGCCTGGGGCATTTCTCTAAAGTCAAGGGCAAGAAGCAACGGCAGGTTGCCACTTGGAGAGGAAAGACACATAGCGATCATCTAGAAATCCCGACAGCTTTGATGGGTGGATTAAAAGGGACTAAGCTGTTCAATTGAACAATTCCTGTGTTAATTTTCGACTTGAGCAGTATTTTTTTTAAAAAATGTTGGAAGGTAAATTGAGGGTCGACTGTCTCCCTGAACTCTGAAAAAGACCCATCCTGCCATCAGAGTTTCTATAATTTAAGTTCCGGGAATGACACCTCTGACAAACAGGACTTTCAAACAGTGGCCTCAGCCCCTCTCCAGGCCTTGCCGACTGCCCCCTAGTCGGACAGGGCAAACCCCTCTATTCTCTCGGTCTGCCCGCCCCAGGCCCATTGCTTCTGACTTCCCATAAGCCTTTACCCCATAAGCCTTTCTCTACAACAGACTTTTTCTCTTCACTTCTAGAACGATTATTTAGGATTTGGCTCCTAAATTTGTATGCCTGTTTTATTCTTGATCATATTCTGCCATGTGTATGTTATCTACACTGTAAAATGTCACAGGATTGGGCTCTTTATCTCTGTCCCACCCCCTTGGTGCCCTGTGCAGTGCTGGATCATGTTTTATATCCAGCAGCTAACGGAAACTCTCCGTTTTTAGAAAGGATTGGAGAGAGCAGCCTCGGGCCAAGGGGCTGCATGGCAAGCAGGGCAAAAAACATAGCTTCTGTGCGAATATGTAAATGTCTTGGGGGGGGGACTCTGGTCTGTTCTCCCTTTTGTACAAAATAAGTCTGTCGTATTTTGTGTTCACCCAGAAAGCACAGACTTAGCTCGCATATTATTCAAATTCAGTGCTTCCTTTTACCAGAGTCCCAGCAGGATAAGGGACATTCAGTGCCTGCTCTCTAAAGGCACTAGAGGCAGCCGCTTAACCAGAAAGGCCACTAGGCTGAGAGTCAGGCCACCTGGTCCTGGGCCCGCTTCTAACTAGCAGTGTGGCTCTAACCAGTCACACTCTCCAGTGGGCTCAGCTGCTTCATCTGCAGAATGAGCAGACTGGGCTCGGATCCACGGCAGAGGCTGAGTCTGAGTCTAGCTACATGCACAGTGACGGGATATGGGGCCTAATGGGGGGAGGAAGTCAGAGCTCATCAGACTCCCAAAGGGCTTATCACTGTGACTCCTCAAACATGAAACCCAGCTGGATGAGACCTCCCCTGAGGTCTTCTCTGGGCTATTAGTTGATTCTGAGATCCCTTTTCCTCTGTGTCACCAGTGGAGACTTATATCCATGAGAAAAGCTACTTTAGTGCAGGGGAGGCGTTGGGGGAAGGCCCTGCTTTGGGTGGTAATGGTGGATAATGGTGTGGTCTGCAGACTACAGCCCACAGGCCGAGTCCGGCCCATCGCCTGTGTTTGTAAGAGAAGGGTGGTTGGCACACAGCCAAGCTGCTCGTTCGGGTGCCATCTACAGGCACCTTGCGCTGCACCCGTGGATGCGAGTGGGTGAGACAGAGACCGTGCGGATGGCGAAGCTGAAAGGGTTTCCTATCTGGCCTTCGCGGGACCCATCTTCTGAGCCCCGGGCGGGGGTCTGGCATCTTGTTGGAGACCTGGCTCCATGGGGCATTGTGCTGGTTCCGTACTACAAGGGCATTCTGGAAACTGCTGGAAGGACAGCCCGCCCATACTCACAAAGGATGACCAGCCTCCGTTGTCTTCCTCGTGGCTCTCTGCGGAAGAAGATGACACCACCGTCAGGACCAAGGAAGCCACTAGAAAGTGAAAGCGGCCCTCCCGTCTGGCGCCCTCCCGTACCACAGCCCTGTCCCGGGCCCCCATCCCGCCTTCTGCCTACCTGGGGGCATCTCTTTTGTATCAGAGCTAGAATATCTATCTGAGGGGCTTGTCATACTGGATGGCATAAAAGTCACCTGAGAGTGCTTTAAAGCATGTGCGATATAACAGTTGAAAACTGTTCAGAGATTCGGAAGCATGGGGCTGGCTCCAGGGAGGTGCTCAGCCAAAGACTCGGTTCTCCCATGCTCGCCCTCCCAGAGTTCCTCATTGTGTCTCTGCGGAGGGTCCCAGCTGAGCAGGCTCCACAAGCCGGGTACCCTGCATCCTGACATCTCTCCTCCCCTCAGCCTAGACCCAAACCTTTTTCCGGGTAAGAACTGGCTGACAAGCAAATGAATAAGGTCACCCGCATGCCACCCAAGGAGCCCCAGGAACCAACAGACAGAACCAAAGTACTTGTCACCTTCTGAAGCCATCACTCTCACCCCTGAGACCTTTACCTATTTCTTCAGGAAACCGATGGACTTGGGGTCTGCAAAGGCAAACAGGATTGCATTAACGGCCCTGCTGACTTAGGGGGATCTCCCTCCTTCCTCAACCCGGCCCTGCAAGAGGATCCCCCAGTGGAGACTGTATCTCACTCCCCAGGACTGGTGTCCTTGTTGCTTGGCAACCAAGGCCAGACTGCCTCAAAATTCTAGAAACCACCAAAGCCACATCGGCAATGCCACTAGGAGCTCGTGACTGCCTGATTGGGGGACATTCCCCTGATGTCCCAGGCTGGGGGCAGGGTGCAGGGAAGAGAGAGGAAACGCCCTCCCCTCGTGGCTTGAGCTATGTGACCCCATGACCAAAGGAGCGCTGGTCACAAAAACTGGGCGAAATCAGGTCTGTGCCTCCCATTTAAGGTTCGACTTGGGTTTGAAAACTCTTTCGGCCCCGCTTCGGCGGCACTGGGCCGACTCACTTGCGTGCGAAAATGCTTCTCCTCTCTTCATTCTTGTTGATTTCTTGACTTAACTTACTGAGAATCCTGCAAGATGAAGGGACAGATGACGAGACAAAACCACCATCGCTCACCCTCCCCGACCTTTCCACTAAGTCCTGACACTCCTTGATCTGTCTGACCTCAGGCACCTGGGCCAACCTCTGCCAGTCCCTTCGGTGGGCCCTCTGCTCCTCACTTCCTTCCGGAACTTGTCACCTTTGTCCCCTGCCAGCCCTTGCTCCACCCCAGGGAACCCTCTGCATCTGCCTCAGCCTCCTCAGTCCGGCTCAGAGCGCTTCCCGTAGACTTGTCAGCTCACACCTGGCTCCGCCTCCTCAAAAACCCTGCAGCCTTATGATCTGGGTATGACCGCTGTGTACTTTACGGTGCTAGTACTACTCCTGGGGCGGCCTGAAGTGCCCTTGCTCCTGGTTTGGCCTCCTTGATATGACCGCTGTGTACTTTACGGTGCTAGTACTCCTGGGGCTGCCTGAAGTGCCCTTGCTCCTGGTTTGGCCTCCTTGTGGTGATGTCTGGCTTCCAGGAATCCGCAAACCATCTCTGAGACCTGGGTGAATCAGCTGCTTATTGCTCAGCCCTTGACGAGAGTGCCAAGGGCTGTTCTTTGACTTGGATCTCCTTCCATCTTCCCCTCCCTGCCCCTTCCTCAGTGATGTGGGTTCTTATAAAAACAGAGAGAAGTGTTCTCAATGGACACCCTCTATTGCCCACGCCCTGAGGCCAACCTTGCCTGGTCTTTGCCCTGAGGCCAACCTTGCCAGGACCTTGGGGATACTCCTGGTTCCTGGATGCCGTGAACTAGCAAATCCCCAAAAGCCAGGACAGAAAGGCCTTTGCCAGAAACGCACCACAAGCACGCCCTAGCAGTAAGCTTCCATTCCGTGGGGGTCTCTTGAAACTTCAGGACACAGACTCCAGCCTCCCCTAGCGCCCACCCCTGAGATCGAGGGGGATTTGGGGCGGCTGAGAGGAGCCCCAGAGATGGTCTGCTCTAATGTCATCTTACAGATGAGGCCACAGAGCCCCAGACAAAGGAAGGGACGGGCCCACCTGTAGGTTAGTGACAAAGGCCACCCCTCTCCCCACAACGCACACGAGCCCCAGAAGCCAGGCTCCCTAATTTCCAGGGCAGCACAAATTTAAAACCCCACATCCGTGTTCACGCCCTTTACACTGCGAGCTCCATGGGAGTGAACACTGGAGCCTCCAGCCCACCCGAGATGAACCTAGCCTCTACGTTCCTCCTGTTCAGTGACCATCTCCAGGCAACAAGTGTAACCAAAAACAAAATCTCCAAGTTAGCAAAGGTAGTCCTTAGCATTCATCACTTCTGGTTCCCCTTGTGAGGCTCCCAGCCCCACCCCCCCTTCCCACTTTCAGGCGAGACTGCTGTTCAGAGTCCTCCTACCTCATTAGAATGACAGGATAAACTAATTGGGGACTAGAGAGGACAGAGGAGGAGAGAGGGCAATGTTTAACCCTCTGATGTCATTGTTGAAATGTCACACATCACTGACTGCCCAGGGGAGGCTTCCCAGTGGCCGCCTGACCACACCACTGGAACACCTGCCACATGGTCCTTGGCTGTAAGCGATTGTTTTGAGAGGTCGATGGGGGCCCCTCCCCACCCTCCTCTGACCCGGGGGCTGGATGAGTTCCTACAGAGCTGACAGGGGAGCCCCGTTAGGTCCTGCGTCCAGGCCAGGTCTGGAGGTGGTGGCTGCAGCGGCCACTCGCTTTCAGTTTCCCCTTCATTCAGCAACACGCACCTCCCTGTAAGTGTCAGAAACCACACTGGGTGTTCGGGGTGCCTCGACGAACAAACCAGAGACCCCTGCTCTCAAAGGGTTTACACGTCGGTTAAGGGAGAGAGGAAACAATGAACATTTAAGGAAGTGAAATTCTAGGTCAGAACTGTGCATATGAAGATGCAATGGTGTTGGGGGCTGGGCGAAGGGGGGGATGGGGTGCATGGGAGGGGTGCGGTTGCAATTGAAAACGAGCAGGCCTCCATACCGAGATGACATTTCAGCTGTGACTTGAAGGAGGCGGGGCTGGACCACACCTCGACACCCCCATCCCGCAGAGCTTGTCTGGGCTCTGACTGGCTCACAAAGCTGCTTTCATCCTGAAAGGACCTGCTTTCTGCATTGTCTGTCCTTACAGTATCTTAGCAGCCAGGCTGGAGGCTGCTGGGGCTCTAACTGGCTAAGGAAGGAAATGCCAAACCACAGGCCCCAACAGAGAAGCAAAGAGCGGAGAGTGAGCAGAGCGGGGCCTGCCAGTCGGGCTGTGGCAAAGCGTGGGCTCTTAGTGACCTCAGAGAACACAGCCCAGGCCCACTGAGACCGTGCGGGGAGCCAGTGGACAGGGAAGGGAGGCAGCTGCTACCTCTATGTGCAAGCCTTCTGAGCTGCCCCCCACTCCCATGGCCCCCAGAAGGACCAAGTGACAGTGAGTGGCCAAAGGCAACTCATTCCCCTTCCTCCCCACAAACCTCAAGCCCCACTCAATGCCAGGGAGGGAAGTGGAAGCGGCTGGGCAGCTGGTAGACACGGTTTTATCGCTTTGCCTAGTTTTTAAGGGATGAAGTGGCCCCGGAGGAGGGCCTGGGCCCTCCAGCAGAGAGTCAGGCCATGGCAAGGAGGTGGGGTCCTGCCATGACTGGGCTTCCAGCCCAGCCACATGCTCCACTTGCTGCCTGACGGGGGCCAGTCTGACTTCTAAGTCAAAGGCCTTTCCGGGTGACATTAGAAGCACAGAGGGAGGGCCTTGCCCAGAGTCTTCCTAAGTGTGGAGCCCCCTCTGCTCTGTGACCTCAGGCAAGGCATTGTCCCTCCCTATGGATTTAAACATAAAATTTATAATTTAAAAAAACCTCCCAGTGGGCATCAGCAGACTTTAACAGGCACTCCCCTGACTCATGCGGCCCCTGCTCAGCTGTGCCATGAGTTCTGAGCTAGGCAATCTCAAAGGAGGCTTTGTTTTCCTATTAAAAACCACTCCCTCATTACAGAATTCAGGGTGTCTCTGGGAGAGACCGTGCCCCCGGAGCCTGACTACATCAACAGACAGAGAAAGCCTTCCTCTTCAGAATCTGCCTTCTAACAAACTTCTTTAATACTGATATTTTTTAATCATGGGGGAAGGAAATAGACATTCAGAGAAGTGTAACCTCATCTTGGTCAGCTCTATGCAAACACAATCCCTTCTGATCGAGGCGATGATCACAGAAAATGAACCTGTGTACAAGGGGCGGGCGTGAGTAAGGCTCGACTATCCATACGTGTCAAGGACGGCACCAGGCCACTTATGCGGGTTCCTCCTTGAAAATCCACCACTCCCCTTGCGTAAGTTCTTCCCAACCCCCACCCCCACCCCATCGATGAGAAACCGAGGCTGAGTGTCGAAGCGACAGCCCCAGCGTCCCACAGCTGGTAGGAGGCAGAGCCCGCTTCAGAACCTGGATCTCCCTCACCCCAAAGCCCGTTCCTTTCTATTGTTTAATCCTCCCCCTTTAGCAGGATAGAATAGTTAGTGTAAAAAATAAATAAATAGATAAATTTGCAACTGGTCTCATTGGACTTTCGCATAAAACAGTAAGAGCAGCTAAGCCTTCCTCGGTGCGGTGCGCTTTGTCATTTGCTCATCATTGCCTCTAACTTTCCTCCTGAGCCTTTGAGGCGGGTCCCCTCCACTTTCGTCACACACGTAGAAGGCTACCTGAAGTTCCCTACAGGTCCCTGAGGTTCTTTTCATTATGATATTTGAATCCTTTCTTCTCCGTTTCATTGCGCATCGTTTCTAGTGCTGTTTTTTCATGTTTTCTAGTATTTTATTCCGCGACATCTAATATGCTGTTAATCCCAAGCCGTGCATTTCTTACTCCAGACATCATAGTTTTCATCTCTAGAAGTTCTGTTTGGGCCCGTTTGCATTTCTCATGCCTCGGTGTCACTTGGACTATAATTATGTTGTCCTTGCCTGCTGATTCTAATATCTGTGTCACTATGGGTCAGCTTCGATGCTTTGTTTTTCTCTTCCCTATAGGTCATATTCGCCTTATCTGAATACCTCTTAATCTCTGATTAGATGCTCGACATCATGAATTTTACTCTGTTGGGTGATGGCTATTTTTATATTCTGATAAGTATTTGTGAGCTTTGTTTTGGGATGCAGTTAACTTACTTGGAATCAGTTTGAGATATATATATATATTTTTTCATCTTGCTTTTAAGGTTTCAGGCTAGTGCTTTTCCAGTCTGGTTGGTAGAAACAGGCACCATTTGCAGGCCTGTGGCTGGCTGCTCTTACCCCTGATGTTAAGTGGTTCTCCACACACACACACGCACACGCACACGCACACGCGCACACACACACACACACGCACACACGCACACACACGCACACACGCACACGCTCACACACTGATCAGCACTTTGATGAAGAGGCCCCCTCTGCCATTCTCCAGAACCCGTTCTCACTGCCGCTCTGTCTTCTCTGACACCCATTCAGTGAACTCTAAACTTCTCGGGTCTCAGCCCTGTCTCTCCAACTCAAGGAATTCACCAGAGTCTCCCCACATTCCCTGCTTTCTGTGCCACGGCCTGGAGACTCTCGCAATGCAATGAGCAATCACTGAGATCACCACATCTGTTTTCCACCTCTCATTGTCTGATGTCCAATGTCTTAAAAACTGCCATTTTGTATATTTTGTCTAGTTATTTGGTTATTTCTGGTAGGAGGGTACATCTGGTGTCATTACTTCTTGTTGGTCAGAAAGCCAGAGTCTCCATTTGTGTGACAGAAATGATTGAAGCACCTTAAAATAAACCCCCAGGGAGTGTTTGGGAGCACCAATGCCACCTAAACAGGTCAGTAGACACTCAGATCTAGCTGACCTTTGCCACAGTATAATATAAGGCCCGGATTACCAAATATTCCATTTATTTCTAGAGAAGCTGGATTTTGTGGCATATTCCTTGACCTTAAAACACCGTGGACCAAACTTAACATGTCTACAGGCTGGCTCTGGCCCGCCAGCCACCAATTTTGACCTCTGTGTATTACGTTCTCACCCTTACATAGAACTATGGTTTTATTTTGATTACGTGACATTTCCGCAGGCATAGAAATTGTCTATGTCTGCACACTCCATTATGATGGTCACCAGCTCTATGTGACTATCAAGCCCTTGGAATGTGGTTAGTGTCTGAGAACCAAACTTTTCATTTAATTTAAGTTTAAATAGCCATATGCGGTTAGAGAAAATTCTTAGAAAGAATAAGCATTCTTCAACAACTCTTGCTCTGGGGATAGGAAGCCCCAAAGGCAAATCCTTCCTTCCTTCCTTCC